AATAAAGGCATGTGTCCAACAACAACTAAAAAAATTAAAAAATTTAAAAAAATTAAATTGTAGGTATAGAAGTTACTAATAATTTCATCCCAGATGTAAAATGAGATAGTTTCTTTAATTCATAGAAGTTGACTAGAGGTAAAGTAAGTACTTTGTCATCTAAGAAGGGCATAAATTAATAACTGTATGTTGATTTATTTTTAGGGTCCACCAAAATATACAAAATCTGTTCTAAAAAAGGGAGATAAAACCAACTTTCCCAAAAAAGGAGATGTTGTTCACTGCTGGTATACAGGAACACTTCAGGATGGGACTGTTTTTGATACCAATATTCAAACAAGTAAGTCTCAATGTAATCATACCTTTTTGCCTTCAGACATTGTCCATTTATATAGTAGACAGGATAAGCAGTTAGTTGGCAGTACCTTTTCCTTGGTTGTTAGCCTTCTTTCTTCCAGATGTCTTTTTGCACCTATGATTTACTTGGAGAAGGACTTCAGTTCATGGATTATTGTCTGGCTGAAGAACTTATGGTTATTGGAAAGCAAAAAATGAGGAACAATAGTCTAAATATGGTTAATGTCTATTTTAGTCCATTTTCTGTTGCTCTAACACGTTGAACGCCCGAGACTTGGTAATTTATGGCTCACAGTCATTGCTGCTCCAAGCATGGTGGAAAAGTAGAAAAGCATGAATATGAAGGGGATGGTCCTAGGCTTGCTTTATTAATAATTCCCTCTTAGGTAACCAATCCAGGCCCACAAGAATACTCCTCTGAGAAAATCATGAATCCTTCTTATATCCAGCTGTGTCTTCTCTTCTTGTAATCACCTTTTTTTTTTCCTCCCTTTGTGGTGGTGGGGATCGAACACAGAGCCTTTTGCATGTGAGGCGTGCACTCTACCAGCTGAGCTATATTCCTAGCCCCTCTTAATAGGCTCTTAATAGGCTCTTAATAGGCCCTTAATAGCCTTCTTAGTAGGCCCAACACTGCTGCATTGAAGACCAAGCCTCAATACACCATGGCAACATCCCAAAGTGATTCTTTAGTATTTTAATATAAAAGGGAAAAGTGTGCTATTTTAGTAGGATAAATATAGGTCCTAATCTTCTACTCCTCATTTAGATCATTATTTTTATATTTAGAAATTTTTTTTCTTTTTTTTATTTTTGCATTACAATTCTTAATATACCATTATACAATAATTTATCATATCTGTGATTATATATAAGGTATGTTAACACCAAATTCACATCTTCATAATATGTATTTTGTATAATGATGAGGGTCTCCTTTCACCATCCATGCTATTATTCCCCTCTCTCCCCCTAGAATTTTCTTGATGAATTTACCTGGCTTTCTGAGTAGTTATTCCTTTTCAAATATATTGCATTACAATTCTGAGGTCAATTAAATCACTGTTTCCACTGGATCTTAATTTCTTAACACAACTAGAGTGTATCATTAATTAAAAGAAAAATCTGTTTTACAGGTTCAAAGAAGAAGAAAAATGCCAAGCCTTTAAGTTTTAAGGTTGGAGTGGGCAAAGTTATCAGAGGAGTAAGTAAAGAATAAGTTGCCCTATCTATATAAAAAACAGGGGTATTGCCTACCTCAAATTTGTTGAAAGATGAAATGAGCATAACCAAGCACAAAATATAATAAGAACTCAAATTAATTTCTTCCATGTCTAACCCTTTTAATATTTTTCTTCATAAGGAAATTCTTTGTGAGAATATTTGACTTTAAATTATAATCACTGAGAACATCAAACATTTAACAACTGAAATGTCTATTTAAATAGTTGTAAGAATTATTAACATAATACCTTTGTACTGTGGGCAAATGTAGTTCAGACAATTATATCCAGAACCCAAATCAGAATATAAAACATCTTGAAACTAAAGGTTTAATAACACATAACTTTTAACTGATACCTGCTTATACTATATATCAAGTTCAGCAATTTTTCTAATTCTATAACTTATTTGCATACTGGTAAATTTCTTCTAGTTCATCATATTATTAATTTCCAGATATAAAAGACCTTTATCCCTTGAGTTTCATTTGATTGTTGCATTTCAACAGAGTATATGATGTTTAGAATATACTCTATATGTTTGTATCCTAATACTTGAACTGTTTAGATAACTGGCTTTAAAATCCCAAATTTGAAAACTATGGGAGAAGCAACCCAGAATCCTTTATATAAAGTTAGTTTTACGTTTGTAGCAAGACAGTTTGGTAATCTTAAAAAGTTTTAAAATGCTTCCTAGTTTTTCCCTACAAAAATATCCTGAGTTTGTCCTATGATAGGTAAAAGTGGAACAATTTTTTAATAGTGGTACTAATAACAAAATGATGCTGCATGTTGCAGTACAAAAGTGATTTACACTTGAGGAGTTTGAAATCACTTTTTTCTTTTTTAGAAAGAGAATTTTTTAAAAATATTTATTTTTCAGTTTTTGGCGGACACAACATCTTTGTTTATATGTGGTGCTGGGGATCGAACCCGGGCCACACGCATGCCAGGCGAGAGCGCTACCGCTTGAGCCACATCCCCAGCCCGAGTATCACATTTATTAATAATATATCCTTATTTTTTTTTTTTCTATTGGAAATTGAAGACAAAGTTTTAGGGATTCAACCAAGGATCTTACCCTGAGGACATAATAAAATCCAAAAATCCCCTTTTAAAAATTTATCTACATTTGCTGTTCTTATATTGCATGTATTTTTTGAAATACATTATTTTTTATTTTTGCTCTTGGCCTTTAGTGGGATGAAGCACTCTTGACTATGAGTAAAGGAGAAAAGGCTCGACTGGAGATTGAACCTGAATGGGCTTATGGAAAGAAAGGACAGCCTGATGCCAAGTATCCTTTTCCCCCCTTCGTAATGAAAGGAAAAAACAAAAACTTGGGAAAGATCACCTGAAAGTGTTGGGAAAGATGCTGTCTAGTCTAGGATCCAGATGAGAAATGAGGAATCATCTCCAGACTAGTCTTCAAGACTGTCCAACACATACAATATAGAGAATCTTTTTTGTCTTTTGTTGCCCAGGCTAGCCTCCAATTCCTGGGCTTAATCCCCCACCTCAGCCTCCTGAGTAAGTTGGGGCAACAGGTCCATGCTACCATGCCCATGGATAATAACTTCAGCACTTACTATTGGTACAAATTATTCAGGCTTCAGCTAGACTCATCCTTTTTGTCCCTTGATTCAAGTTCTTATTTCCAAGATCTTCACTGCAAATTTTAAGCTTTCATCTTTGAAAGACAATTCTTAACATTTTACTGTTTGAAGGATTTACTTCAGTAAGTTACAATGTCCAGTACAAACAATTAAAAAACAGGGTACAAATATAGCTCATGGTAATTTTATTCTACATTATAATTTAAGGTTATTAACTAGTAATTAGAACACATATTGGGATTACAAGTGGAAATGAAGACAACCACAGGACTGAGTAGTGTTAATAACCATTTATTATCAATACTTAAGACACACTTCTGGTAGGCCAAGTTTGTGAACATTTAAAAACACAAAACGGCAAAATGACTCCAGACCATTCATTCAGACCAGACCAATTCAGCAGGTAAATGGGAATGTAGTTATTGCTATTGCTGGTTCCCTTCCTGTTGGCCCATTCAACTTCTAAATTTTGATGAAAAAAAATTTTTTTACAAGTTCTCTATATAGTCTTTTATCAGTTAAACTTATTTGAGAATAGTTCTCTGCCTTTCAAAACCAGATGGCCACCTGCAGCTTCCTCTCAATGTGAAGAAATATCTTTAAGACTAATCTGGTACACATAAATCACACCCTTTTCTGAATTCGGCATCTTTAAATTCACAGTAAATACCATGAACAACCTCATAAAACTGATATAGAGCATATATACTCAGTAGAATACAATGACTTTTTTTTTGCTTTTAAATTACTGGGTGGCGCTAATTTGGCAGTATTAGTGAGGTATCTATATCTAGGTTAAGGGGGAACCTAGTAAAAGTTCAGCTTAACCTAGTTAGCCTACATTGATAGGTTATGATTTATTTATCATTAAATAAACTTTAGGGATCTCTAGGTTAGTTATATATTAGCTTCTGAATAAACTACAAAGCTTTTCCTTCTAGAATTAATTATTGGGCTGGGGAATGTGGCTTAGTTGGTAGAGTGCTTGCCTAGCATGTGCAATGCCCAGGGTTCAATCCCTAGCACTGCAAAAAAAAAAAAAAAAAAAAAAAAAAAGATTAATTACTGATGTCTTACATTGAGGTTATTGGGGATAGAAAAGAGGTACATTTTTATCAAATTTACCTTGACTTTTTCAACAGAATTCCACCAAATGCAAAGCTCATTTTTGAAGTAGAATTAGTGGATATTGATTGAATTAACCAAGTACTTGGGATCTAAAGATGACAACAACAGCAACGATAAAACTTGCCCTTGAAACTGAATTAGAGCTTGTTTCTGTTATAAGGGAAGAGTCAACTGGAAAATTCAAAGAGTTAAAAGTTATTTACTTGACCCCAACTTTTAAGAAATGTAATCCTTTATAAGTCCCTGAAGTCTAAAATATTTTATTATAGCTGCATAAAACTTTGGTTAAGGAGAAGAACTGCTTGGCCTTTTACCTCATGTAAACTAAAAGGCTCAATAAAAAATGTCTCCAGTATCTTGATTTGACTGCTTTATTGGTATTACTGTGTTAATGTTCTGATTAGGTAAACAGAACTAGGGACTTAAAAGGCAATAACTAAATAAAAATTACCTAGACAGCCTTGCCAAGGACATTAAATGATTGTAAAAATCTTAAGTGTCCGGCAATGATCAGAAGTCAAAGACCCAAAGCAGAAAGTTAAATAGGCTAAGAAATCTTGGCAATAATAGCTAAATAATAGGGAAAGTTCATTTCAAGACCAGTGAACCATTAATGCCAACTATAAAGTACTAGATGCTTCCCCCCAACCCACACACAAAATAAATTCATAAACAATTGCTGGATGAGTCTTCAGTTTTATTACAAAAATGAAGATGATCAGTTTGATCAAAATGAAAGCTTGCTCACAGTTTTACATGAATAATCTAAATACAAAGTCTCCTGGAACAACATACTTCTGATATGATTTTCATTATTAAAGGGATGCAAACATGACATTTTCTCAATCCAAGGCATATTTTAATATTGTATCTTTTCTGCAGTTAACATCCAAGTTCACAAGTATAACTGAAACACTCAAGACAACCTTGTCAGCAACAGTAAAAATCATTTTTGTCTGTTTTTACAAAGGAGGTAAATCCCTAATAACCAGCCCTTGTGTGTTTTCAGAATCTTGTACTATACTGACATTGATCTGCAGTCAGTTTTTCCCTACACTTAAGGCTACAAAACTGTTGCAAATGCATTGCAAAAGAATTCTAGACCACTTAATGAAAAAATAAAAAAAATAGTTCTCCAATAAAAAGTAAATTTTATAAATGGTAGGAAATAGTATCTGGTAAGCTACTAACTGACATTTTCCCCTATTACTAAACAAATCATGTTACACAGAAACGGAAGACAAGTTATCAAATACAACAAGCTTATGCTCTGTTTACATCCCTCATTTAAAAAAAATAATTTCATACTTTTAACATATTCCATCTGAAATTTACATTTTCCCATCAGGTTGGAGGGGGGGGATAATACTGTCCATAATTCCAAGGATTCTGATAATTGTACTAAAAAAAAAAAATAAAAATAAATATGTTAGCATACTTGAACTATGGCTGAGTTCCAGAAATAAAAATTAAAGCAACTACATTTAATAAATGTGTTCTAAGACTTGGCCACAGAAATCGGCTATACAATTATACACTTTTAATAATATGAACAAACAATTAACATGGACTCACTTGATACCAGGCACTATAGTTATATGCAGCTTGATTTGCCTGTAAATCACCATCAATCATCTGAGTAGAAGATGAAGTTGTGTCTTCTGTGTGTGCTTTCTTCTCTTCTGGTTCTTCTGATCTATGGAAAGTCAAAATGTAAACTTATAAAACTTCCACAGAAGAACGTTATTAGATGAATGTCATCTGCATATATTTGTTTTATAGAGTTTCCAACACTTTTTTGATGGGGTAGGGGAGGAGGGAGGGTCCATTCTGGCTGAAGCAAAAGTGACAGGGAGATATACCTAGTGGCATAAATGTATAGCTGGACAAATTATGGCTTAATAAGCTGAAAACTAAACTTGATAGTATAAACTTTTCCACAGAAATCCCTCAAGTTCAATCATCTATCCAAAGAACTTCACCTAATATCTCTATAAGATGTGTGACCTCTCTAATATGTTCGTCAACTGACACCCAGATTATCTGCTCCAAGCACAGATCGTGCTGTTCACTGCCCTCCTCAAAATACTCTCAGTAGTCGCCAGCCTAAATAATAGATTTCTCTAGCAAGGTAATCAAATCCCTTTCCACTCTGGCCCCCAAGAGACTTGCAGCCTCACTTTCCACTCTCTACAAACCTAAAACCCTCCAGCTACATTGGTTGACCTATCACTAAGATATCATACTTGTGTGTCTTTATGGCAGCGGTGGGAAAATAGTGGCCTGGAGATTGGAGGTGGCCCACAGGTAGGTATTTTGTTTATAAAAATCTGTACTTCTCACTTGAAGACGATGTCTACACAGTGTCCATATTCCTGAATAACACTAGTTAGAGCTGAGCAGTTATACCTAAAATGGAATGTATATCACCCACCTACACACTACTTTTAAATTTCCTAAGACAAAGCAGTTGCACTCATGTCACTGCTACTAGCCTGCCTTGCATTTGTGACCCATAGTGGGGACCTTAAGGAGGAGGCTGCCAAGAAATCAGGCTACAGGCCTTTACTCTTTGTCAATCCCCAGTCATAAATATAATAGTATCTAAATTACCACAACACTAAGCTAACACTTAAAAATTTTCACAATGTCTTTTAAGCACCCCTTTGTGATTTATGAAGTTACATACCCATTTTCTGCTTTCCTTTTTAAAGTATCCTGTTCTTTTAGGAGTGTTTGATGTTCATCATAAGCATTAAGAAGCCTAAGGAAGAAGGGGAAAAATTAAAATCCTCTGGAATATTCAATAAACATTACTTTTTAAAATATTTTATTTTTTAATTGTAGTTGGACACAATACCTTTATTTTATTTACTTATTTTTATGTGGTGCTGAGGATAGAACCCAGGGCCTCACACAGATGCTAGGCGAGCACTCTACCACTGAGCCACAAGCTCAGCCCTACAAACATTACTTTTTAAAGATATGTTTTCATTTAGGCAAACTGCCTATATAAATTTGTAAGTGGCTAATTTTTCATATTCATTTTCTGTTTTAATTTTAACTACAACAAATCTTAGTCCTTACACTTGGAATCTCTATACCTACAACTGTGAGGACCTGAATGACATCTTTTTTGTTGAATCTTTAATTTTTGTCTGCTTATTACTGCCTTTTCAAAATAATGTCATTAGATATCATTGGTCCAAATTCAAAATAGCTTGCTATTGTGAACTAACTACTGCATGTTCTCTGAACTCTCAAGGCACAGCACAATCAAGATCATACTTCCAGGCTGGGGTCTAGCTCAGTGGCCAAATGCTTTGCCCAGCATGTGTGAAGCCCTGGGGTTCAATCCCCAGCACTACCAAAAAAAAAAAAAAAGTAACACTTTCAGTACTTCTCCAAACCTTCTAAATAGATATTACTTTTATATGAACTTTAATCTGCTTCCATCATTGTTGTCTTCTCCTCAATTATCATTAGAATCCAGGAGTAGCTAAATGAGGCTCCACCACCTCCCTTATAAGCTTCATTTATGTTCACTTATGTTTCCTCTGAGAACTGTACCATTCAACTAAAAGGTAAAATTACATTATCTCTTTCCTTTGTATGCCTTCAGCAGTGTAAAATAGAAGACATTATATACACAGTAATGGAACACAATTAAGAGCAGAGACATGGAAACAGATTCTAATCCTAGCCCCAAAGTAATATAGCTAAGGGACCTTGGAAAAAAAATTGCTTAGTGTATCCTTAAGTTCCCTTTCTTCGCCTATTTAAAAAAGTACCAGGTTGGGGTTGTGGCTCAGTGGTAGACCACTTGCCTTGCAAGTGTGAGGTACTGGGCTCAATCCTCAGCACCACCTAAAAATAAATAGAGATACTGTGTCCATTTACAACTAAAAAAATAGTGCCTATACTCATTATACTGCTATGAATTTTACATTTATTATAAAATATTAGAATGAATCCAAGCAATGTACCCGGTTTATGGATAGGCAGAACCAACATCATCAAAATGGCGATATTACCCAAAGTTCTCTACAGGTTCAACACAATGCCAATCAAAATCCCAACGGCATTTCTGGTAGAAATAGATAAAGCTATCATGAAATTCATATGGAAAAACAAAAGACCCAGAATAGCAAAAGCAATTCTAAGCAGGAAGTGTGAATCGGGAGGTATAGCGATACCAGATTTCAAACTGTACTACAGAGCAATAGTAACAAAAACAGCATGGTACTGGTACCAAAACAGGCAGGTGGACCAATGGTACAGAATAGAGGACACAGAGACCAATCCACAAAATTACAACTTTCTTATATTTGATAAGGCGCTAAAAGCATGCAATTGAGAAAGGATAGCATCTTCAACAAATGGTGCTGGGAAAACTGGAAATCCATATGCAACAAAATGAAGCTGAACCCCTTTCTCTCGCCATGCACAAAAGTTAATTCAAAATGAATCAAGGAGCTAGATATCAAATCAGAGACTCTGCACCTGATAGAAGAAAAAGTTGGCTCCGATCTACACATTGTGGGGTTGGGCTCCAAATTCCTTAATAGGACACCCATAGCCCAAAAGTTAAATACAAGAATAAACAAATGGGACTTACTTAAACTAAAAAGTTTTTTCTCAGCAAGAGAAACAATAAGAGAGGTAAATAGGGAACCTACATCCTGGGAACAAATTTTTACTCCTCACACTTCAGATAGAGCCCTAATATCCAGAATATACAAAGAACTCAAAAAATTAAACAATAAGATAACAAACAACCCTATCAACAAATGGGCCAAGGACCTGAACAGACACTTCTCAGAGGAGGACATACAATCAATCAACAAGTACATGAAAAAATGCTCACCATCTCTAGCAGTCAGAGAAATGCAAATCAAAACCACCCTAAGATACCATCTCACTCCAGTAAGATTGGCAGCCATTATGAAGTCAAGCAACAACAAGTGCTGGCGAGGATGTGGGGAAAAGGGTACACTTGTACATTGCTGGTGGAACTGCAAACTGGTGTGGCCAATATGGAAAGCAGTATGGAGATTCCTAGGAAAGCTGGGAATGGAACCACCATTTGACCCAGCTATCGCCCTTCTCGGTCTATTCCCTGAGGACCTTAAAAGAGCATACTATAGGGATACTGCCACATCAATGATCATAGCAGCACAATTCACAATAGCTAGACTTTGGAATCAACCTAGATGCCCTTCAATAGATGAATGGATTAAAAAACTGTGGCATTTATACACAATGGAGTATTACACAGCACTAAAAAATGACAAAATCATGGATTTTGCAGGGAAATGGATGGCATTAGAGCAGATTATGCTAAGTGAAGCTAGCCAATCCTTAAAAAACAAATGCCAAATGTCTTCTTTAATATAAAGAGAGCAACTAAGATCAGTACAGGGAAGAAGAGCATGAGGAAAAGATTAACATTAAACAGAGACGAGTGGGGGGAGAGAAAGGGAGAGAGAAGGGAAACTATGGAAATGGAAGGAGACCCTCATTGTTACACAAAATTACATATAAGAGTTTGTGAGGGGAAAGGGAAAAAAAAAAAAAAACAAGGGAGAGAATTAAACAACAGCAGATGGGGTAGAAAGGGAAGATGAGAGGGAAGGGGAGGGGGGATAGTAGGGGATAGGAAACGTAGCAGAATACAACAGTCATTAATATGGTATTATGTAAAAATGTGGATGTGTAACCGATGTGATTCTGCAACTTGTATTTGGGGTAAAAAATGGGGGTTCATAACCCACTTGAATCAAATGTATGGAAGATGATATGTCATGAGCTTTGTAATGTTTTGAACAACCAATAAAAAAAAAAAAAAAAAAGAATGAATCCAAGCACTTAAATTTATTAGTAGCTGTATTATTCGAACTGAAATTTAACAAAACCACCAAAAATACAAAGATACACAAATAAATCTGTTTTTCTCTCTACTGGTTTCAATGGAAATCAAATTAATTAGAGAAAGGATATGGAAAACAGGTACTGAGATATTTCCTTACTAGAATCAGATAAGACTGGAACTTCACCAGTGTTCTTGCCAATATTTCTATTCTTCTATGTAGCAAACTTATCAAACACGTCTTTTCCCCAAATCTGGAGCAAACCCTTCTACCCACCCTCAACTTCAGTCTTTTATAATGCTTAGAAGAAGAGGTCATTCATTAACCATGATCTGTGGGACCAACCACACCTACCCTCTTCGCCAATCTCAAAATAAAAGTGTCATTCCTATTCCAAATTAATCCCATTTATGTTTAGTGACCTACCTACTAAATGTTATGTTTCATGGTTCAATCCTTGTTTTATTTCCCTTCATATGAGACTACTTCTTCCTACCATTTCTCATTCACTCATAGTTTAAATTGTCATTCTAAAACTAGGAAAATAGGGGCAGGGGTTGTGGTTCAGTGGCAGAGCGCTTGCCTTGCATATATGTGAGACACTGGGTTCGATCTTCAGCACCACATAATAATAAATAAACAAAGATATTGTGTTCATGTATAACTAAAAAAAATTTTTTTAAATAAATTAATAAAACTAGTAAAATAGTTCTGAAGGGAAAACAAACCATGTCTTCCTGCTAAGCACACATATATTTATGAAACTGAATTTACTCCTACATGTATCTGAAGTAATCAAAGCAAACATTTTAAAATTTAACAATATATTATTCTGTAATAATCATCAACTTCCCATCCCCAAAATGCTCATTTACCCTTCAAACAGATAATATAATTAAGATCTTACTTATTAACATCTGAGCCAAAGTCTTCAAGAAATTCCACTTTTCTCTGAGAAAATGTAATTCTCATTTTAATAGGTAATGAGCCATGTATAGCTTTGTCAAAACAATTTAAGATATTGTCTTCATTTTGTTTGAGGTCACCACTATATTCCATTTCAAGTAAATTGAGGTATAACTTCGTGTTCTCCTGTGTAAAAAGCAGTATCAATTAACATTTCTAAATTAGAGATTTAAAATTCCTTAAATTTTATGTTTCAACTTAAAAAATTCAGTATTAAACCTGGTTAGCTGTTTTCAGCTTACAACTAAAGAGATAAAAAAAATCTCTAGCATACTGATAGGTAGTGATACCCTACTCAAGTATAAAAACTGTTAAATGTGAATAAATCCTTTCTTGAATTTAATATGGCTTGACCAACAATGACAATTAGAAAACAAAACACAAAGAATTATTTCCATAGCTCCAATAGTTTAAATAGTTAAACTATAACCACTGATTTTTTCCCCCCCTAAACTACAGACAGAAAAGATTTGTTACAAACTTTTATAAGCAGTACTGGGGGAATGAATCCAGGGACTCACACTCTTGGCAAGCACTCTTATCACTGAGCTACACCCCCAGTTCTAATGTTTTTTTTTGTTTTGAGACAGGGTCTGCCTTAAATTGCCCAGGCAGATCTCAAACTTGTTATTCTCCTGCCTCAGCCTTCTGAGGAGCTGGGATTATAGGTGTGTGCCACCATGTCTAGCTTAAACCTGAGTCAAACTCACCTGGCAATAGCTATAAACCTAGAAAATGAAAGTTCCAATATGTTACCAACTATTATATAAAAGGAACTTCTTTGGAAAAGGACAATTATCTCCCTGCTACATTTGCTACTGTTAGGCTTTTGTTTATAAAATGTTCTCCCAACCCCTCTCTTTTACTTAATAATCATGAAATTTTTTGTAAAATTTCTAAAGAGAAAATAGAAGTAGCAGGATGTTGGCAACCCTTTTCAACTCAGTAATCTTTAATTTTCTCACTTTTAATTCAAACAATTTGAAAATAAGTTTAATGGCAACATCAGTTTAGAGGGACTATTGTCCTCATCTTGTAACAAAATATATTACATGCAGACCAAATGTTTCATCATAGTTGCCAAAGTGAAAAACCAACCACTGGTCATTTATGAAGATACTCTAAAGAATAACAAATACATACTTTATCTCTTTCAATTGCTTCAGAAAGCACCTTTCTTGATTTTGGAAGATTTTTTTGTATTTTGAAGAGATGCCGGGCTAGTTTGACAGCATAAAATGATGATTCATTATTCGATTTGGCATTCTTAATAGCATCCTGTAGCAAATGTTCAGCTTCTTCCAAGTTTCCATGCCGTCGTTCTAAACTTACTCTTCGCAATCGAACCATTGCCAATCCTAGAACACACTCTTCAAATGTTCTCAAGATATTCCTGGCTTCATTAATATTACCTAGAAATAACAATTAAATGTTTGTTTTTGTTTAAACTTCTGAAATATTCTTTATGCCAGGTATTGAAAAACATTAGTGCTCAGGCTAAATTGTGCCCCCTGCTTGTTTTGTTTAAAAACAATTAGTAACCAACCATGCTCATTTGTTATACATTGTCTATGGCTGCTTTTGGGTTACAATCGCAGAGCTGAGGTGTTAGACAAGAGACAACATGGCCTGCAAAGCTGAAAATATTTATCTGGCCCTTTATAGAAAAAGTTAGTGAAATTCTTCTTTATATATCCCTCAACACTCAATTCTTATAATTTTATCCTGGAATAACTCAGTCTCAAGAATATCAACTTAATTTCCTTATTCTTACCCTGCTGTTCCTCAAAAGCTGCCCAAAGCATATGCACCATGGGTTTCTTTGGAAGATGAATAGTACAAGCTCTGCTGAAGACATGCCTCACTCCTTCAATGCTATGGTTTTCCATGTACTTGGCATACTACATACAGAAAAAAGGAAATACTGAATAATTTACAGTTGAACAAGCCATTAAATATGTGACAGAACGATAAAATTCTATTTTTAAACCCATTCAGCACCTTTATTGAACCACTAGACTAGTTTCTGTAAGGAAGGACGAAGAGAGGCAACGAGGTTGGCATATGCAGCAGTCAAATCTGGTTGCAAGCAGACCATCTCCTAATGCAACAGATATAGTTATATGAACAACATTCAACAGAAGTACAAAAAAGGTTAGTCACTAGATCAATGTTTATAATATATTCAAGTTTAAGAGCATACAATTTTCTTACCTTAATCCAAAACTCCTCATAGAGGGCACATGATATGACACATCTTTCAAAGAGAACCACAACTCGTTCATGAGTTCCATTTTCTATTTCAAATTCTAAGTATTCTTTCCAGTTTTTTAGTTGAGCCTTTTCCAATGGTTTCACATGAAAATACGGTCGTTTAATCTATAATGACATTATGACATGGCAATAAAAGTAAACTAATACCAACACCAAAATATTTATAAACACATTAGAAATATAAATCATTTAAAATGACAATAAAAAATTTAATCTCATAATTTTTAAAAATTCCTTCAATTCCTCAAAACTGGAGGACTAGAATGCATTTTTCATTTACTCAGTCCTTTTTATGGAACTACAAACACTTTTCAGTATAAGAAATTTTATTCTTTGTTGAATGTTTTTAACTTTTCTTTTTCTCTTTGCAGTGCTGAGAATTGAACCCAAGGTCTAATGCATGCTAAGCAAGTGCTCTACCACTGAACTACATACAGCCTCAGTCCTTTTTAAATTAGTTTTGAAGTAGGGTCTCACTAAACTTTCCTAGACTGGCCTCAAATATATGATCCTCCTGGCTGAGACTTCTGAGTACCTGAGATTACAAATATGTGCTACCAGTAGTGACAAAAAACAGATGATTGGCTATCTAGGCCTAGAAGACACTGCAAAGTGACCAAGAGTTGATAGAATAGTTCTATAGCTTGACTTCTGTGGTGATTACAATTTAGAAATATTTGTCAAAACTCATTTTACAGCCAGCCACAAAAGATCCTATACTATGCAATTCCATTCAAAAGAATGGTCATTATAGGGAAATCAATAGAAATAAACTGTAGACTAGATATCTTAGGGCTGAGGTTGGGGATATTGTAGGTAGGCTGAAGGTAAACTAAAATTTAAGTGGTTTCTTTCTTTTTTTTCTTTATTTGGTACCAGAGATTGAAATCAGGGGCAATGAACCACTGAGGTACACCCCCAGCACTATTTTATTTAGAGATAGGGTCTCAATGAGTTGCTAAGCGCCTCACCATTGCTGCGGCTGACTTTGAACTTGCAATCCTCCTACCTCAGCCTTCCAAATAGCTGGGATTATAGGTGTGCGCCACTGTACCTGGTTCCAGGTGGATTTTTTTGTTGTTGTTTTGTGGTGCTGGTGATTGAACCCAGGGCCTTGTTCATTCAAGGCAAGCACTCTACCAACTGAGCTGTATCCCTAGCCCGTGATTTCTTTTTGAGGCACTAAGAATATTATAAAATTGACTGTGGTGATTGTCATATCTGTTATACTAAAGACTGTTAAATTACACACTTTAAAGTGGGTGATTTGTATGGCATGTAAATCTTTTAAAAAAAATGAATAAAGTTTATGGAAAATAAAAATTACTATACATCTCTAAATGGGGGCATTTTATTGTACAAATCATACCAATGAAGTTGATTTGAAAAATTATAGTAAAACTGTGCAGATTAATTAGACATACTGCAGTTCAAATCTGAATGCAACAAGATTCTAAAATTGATAATAGCAAATGATTAAAACTGATAATGGGGATTGGGGCTGTAGCTCAGTGGTAGAGCACCTGCCTTGCATGTATGAGACACTGGGTTCAACCCTTAGCACCACATAAAAATAAATAGATATTGTGTCCATCTACAACTAAAAATTAAAAAAAACTGATAATGGTAATAATAAATGAGATACACATCTTATTACTGTAATACACAAAAATAAATAGAAAAAATAATAGTCATTGCCATCAAGTGAAAAATATTATTATTCCCATATGTATTTTGAAGATTATAAAGATTATGAAACAAAACACTTACACCTTCTTCAAATGTCCACCTTTTACTGACTTCATGCTCATTATAATTAAACATTTCTTGATGAATTTCAATGATTCTATGTCTCATGTTTTCTATTTCAGTAATTAACTTGGAAAAAAGAAAAAAAATCAAGTTAAAATTTAGTTATGTATTTTAAAAAATCTTCCATATTATACATTTAAGTATTATCCAGATATTTAGTCTAAGAATAGTGGTAGGTTTATAACTATTAGCAATTACTATTTTTAACTCAAATTTATGTACCAAAACTTCTTAATAAAACACTTTCTTACATTTCTTACACATTTTCCGGTTTTTCTTTCTTTTTTTTCCTCAGGACTGAGGATTGAACCTAGGGGAACTCAATCACTGAGCAACATCCTCATCCCTTTTCACTTTTTCAGTCAGGGTCTCACAAAGTTGCCGAGGCTTGCTTTTGAATTTGCCATCCTCCCTGCCTTAGGATTAGTGACCCACTTTAGCCCCCCCCCCATTTTTTGTACTGGGGATTTAAGCCAGGGGTGTTTTAAATAAGTTACCCAACCCTTTTTATTTGTTTTTTATTTATGGGGGGAGGGGGGGTGGGCGGGGGCAGGGTAGCAGGGACTGAACTCAGGGGCATTCAACCACTGAGCAACATCCCCAGCCCAATTTAGTATTTTACTTAGAGGGAGGGTCTCACCAAGTTGCTTAGAGTGCCTCGCTTTTGCTGTATTTGGCTTTGAACTCACAATCTTCTTGCCTCAGCCTCCTGAGCCACTGAGATTACAGGCGGGTCTCACTGAGCCCGGCCTGTTTTTAAATTTTGACACATAGTCTCACCAAGTTGCTAAGGACCTCACTAAATTGCTGAGGCTGGCCTCAAACTTGCAATCCTCCTGTTTCAGCCTCCCAAATCCCTAGAATTACAGACATAAATCACAGCACTAAGCTCTTTTCTTTTCAATAAGACTAGTAGATCACAACCTATGTAAAAAAATCCTTCTCAACTAAGTTATTTCCAGGTATCTCACAGTAAGAAATTCTCTACCTTAAATCTATATTTAAACCATATGAGCTAAATGGACAACTACATAACAAGGGTCTAATTTCTCATGAGCTGAACAAATTTTGATTAAGTGTCATTACCTTTGCTGGATCAGTTATGTCTTCAATTCCTGATGGTAGATCATCACCAGGAGGACCATCATCACCACTATGTCCATTTACAGAAGCTAATTCCCTTCGCAGCTGAATAAACTGCTCACCAGTTAAAAGATCTCTAGGCAAGTTATTCTGTACATGGTCTTTAAATCTAAAGGAAGAGATAAAAAGTTCATGCTATATTTTTGCAACAAAATTTAAATTCCATGTTAGATGCCCACTACGTATTGTTCTTCTAAGTGAAGTCAAACTTAAGAGAAAGAAACCAAAATATAAACCCTCTTCTTCCTTTCTATAGTAAACACCTACCAACTTGATAAAATAGTCTATGGACATCTCCATTTCCTTCCTGCCTTAGCACTGAAATGGAGAAGAAATAGAAACAAATTCAAACTCCAGTTCTGTCAGTTATCTAACTTTAGATTTTTCTCTTCTCTAAACTATGATTACATAGCAAAAAAAAAAAAAAAAAAAAAAAAGGAAAAAATTCCTGTTTATATCTAACAAAAACATATGAAACATTTCTAGAGAATATCCAATTATTAGAAATTAATCACCTGAGTAATCAATGATATCAAAGATTTTTCGACCTACCTCTGAAAATGATGACTGTACAGTTGTGTTGGAATACCAAGAATACGATCATATATAGCTGTAACTTCTCTCAGGTTTCCCTGTTCATTTTCCCAGTTTATATACATTTCCCATAGTCTGTCAGATCGGAAATCTGTTCCTGCAGCTAGAACAGCATGCTCAAAAGTTCTGAAAAATTAAATTACTCTTAAGTTATCTTTCCAAAATAAAAATCATTTAAAAAATATTTCTAAATTTAGAAAAAAATGTTAAATTCAAAGTTATATTCAATTGCTTCACATGCAAGTAGAGATTAAAAAGCAAGAGGATAATTCAAAGTATATAAGAGTTCTAAAAAAGAGTGAGAAAAAATAAAGCAGAGAGATGTACTTTGTATGTGATTTATCTTATATAAAAATACAATGGAAAATGTTCACCTTGCAAACAACAGTGACACAGAAGATACTTCAAAGTATCTGTTAAACTTGAAATGTCAATTGTATAGGTTCATTTAAGGCAAAAGACAAAATAAAACAAGAATTTAAAAGAGAAGTAAATTTTACTTCAATCTAAAGAATACTGAGATTGAATCCAGGGTCCTGTGCATGGAGACAAGCACTCTACCAACTGAGTTATGGCCCCAGCTCTAAAGAATACTTTTTAAAAATTATTTTAATTAGGTATATATGACAGCAGAATGCATTTTGATTCATTGTACACAACTGTGGCACAACTTTACATTTCCATGGTTGTACACGATGTAGCACTGCATCATACATGCAGTCATAAATGCACCTAGGGTAATGATGTCCATTTCATTCCACCATCTTTCCTACCCCAACACCCCTTCCCATAACTCCCTCCCCTTTGCCCCACTCAAAGTTCTTCCATTTTTCCATGCCCCCCCGGCCCATTATGAATTAGCATCCACTTATCACAGAGAACATTCAGCCTTTGGTTTTTTAGGATTGGCTTACTTCACTATATCCCACAGTTTCTTTATCCATTCATCTATTGAAGGGCATCTAGGTTGCACACATATCAGAGTACTAATCTCCAGGATATATAAAGAACTCAAAAAACTGAACACCAAAACAAACAACCCAATCAATAAATGGGCTAAGGAGTTGAAGAGACACTTCTCAGAAGATATACATTCGATTAATAAATATGAAAAAATGTTCCAACATCTCTCATAATAAAAGAAATGCAAGTCTAAACTACTCACACCAGTCAGAATGGCAGTTATCAAGAATAGAAACAATAAATGTTGGCGAGGATGTGGGGGAAAAGGCATACTCATTCACTGCTGGTGGGACCGCAAATTAGTGCAATCAATCTGGAAAGCAGTATGGAGATTCCGTAGAAAATTTGGAATGGAACCACCATTTTACCAGCTATCCCACTCCTTGGTCTATACCCAAGAGTTAAAAACAGCATACTACAGGGACACAGCCACATCAATGTTTATAGCAGCACAATTCACAATAGCTAAACTGTGGAACCAACTTAACGAATACTTTTTAACAAAACAACTGTCCAACAAAAGACCCAGCTGCCTCGTGAGGTAATGAGAATTACACAAATATTGAAACTCTCAAAAGCCCCTCCCAATTCTAAAAATTTAAAATTAAAGTCTAATGCAAAAATGAGTATTTTAAAATATTTAGTTCATTTAAAAAGATTTCTGTAAGCAATTTTAATCACAGAATTTGATATCCTAATGAAATAAAACTTTGAGACATACTTTCAAAATAAGTACCTTAAAATCAAGAGGGAATTTTTCAAAAAGTATAAAACTGCACAATCCCACCCAATCAAAGCACTAATGAATTTTGGGTGGAAGAGAAAATTCTGATATTTGTCTAGTCTTAAAAAAATGCAAAATGTTTTCATAAAAGACAATACAGCAGGCATTTTCCTGAAAGAGAACAAGCTATCTTTTATTATAATTATGGTAATTAAAAAAATAGGGCAACAGAAGAGTGCCCAAGAAAACAAAACAGACCACTGTACATATGAGTATTTAGTATATAAAAAAAAGAGGTACTTTAAACCAATGTAGAAAGGCTGAATTATTCAATAAAGAGGAAAAAAATAAAAGGCTAGTACCTTTCTCACAACACCCAGATGAATGAATGACAAAATGTTGTTAAAAAATTAGTATACAATATTCATTCTTGGCAAATTAGGAAAAAAAACTCAGAAACCAATATAAGGCTGAAAACTGAATACATTAAACAAAAATCTGTATGATAAAAGGCACTCTAAGCAAAAGTGACACATACTAACACTGGAAAAAATGTTTAATATATAGAAATATTAAAAGTATGTGTATGTGGATAAAGGTGGGTGTGTAAGGTTTTTAGAAGAATAAAATAGATATTAGTGTCCTTGCAGAAACTCAAAGTGATTCAGAAAATTAATGTATCAAATACTGACAAAAGCATGGAGAAGGAGACGGGAGGATAGTAGGTAATGAAAAAAAGACAGAGGGTTTAGATGCAGGTCTGTTTAAATAATTGGTTAGAAATCTTCACTTCCCTTTTCTGCCTTCCTGGGGGATTCAGAAGTTAGATTTGCGTTCTAAAGGCAGTTCAGATGATCATCTTCTAAAAAACTGCTTGGATCTGGAATAAGACCAATACTGGGACTACCCCCAACAAAAATCTGAGTGGCCACTTGGTCACCCTACTCTGAAGCCTTCTAGGCCAGCTGTCAATGTCCCACACAAAACACACCAGACCTTCCATACAGTTTATTATAATCACATCAGAAATCCAGATCAGGAATGAAACCATAATTTGATCCGCTTATCCCTCTCTTTAGTATATACCCAAAGGACTTAAAATTAGCATACTACAGTGACACAGCCACATCGATATTTATAGCAACTCAATTCACAATAGCTAAGCTATGGAACCAACCTAGGTGCCCTTGAACAGATGAATGGATAGATAAAATATGATACATATACTCAATAGAATATTACTCAGCCATAAAGAAGAATGGAATTATGGCATTTGATGGCAAATGGATAGAACTGGAGGCTCACATACTAAGTGAAATAAGCCAATCCCAAAAACCCAAAGGTCAAACATTCTGACATGCAATGCTAATACAATAAGGGGGAACGGAGGGTCAGGAAGGAAGGAAGAACATAAGTTCATTGGATTAGACAAAGGAGAATGAGGGAAGGGAGGGGAATGGGAATAGGAAAAACAGTAAAATGAATGAGAAATAACTTCTATGTTCATATATGAATACACAACCACTGAAACTCCACATGATGTTCAAGAATGGGATACTAATTAGAACAAGTTATACTCTATGTATATATGTCAAAATATACTCTACTGTCATGTATATCTAAGAACAAATGAAAAAAAAAAAAAAAAAACCCAGAAATCCAGATCAGCCATTTTAGATGACAATAAACACAAGAATTTTAGAGAATACAGTGCTGAGACATAGAAAAAGTTTCTCCCTAATATTATCAAAGAAATAATAAAAAAATATTCAGGTGTGAAACAAAAATAGGAAGCTACAAGAAAAGGAACATTCAAAGAACAAAAAAGGTATCTGGATATTAAAAATCCTATACAAGGATCAAGGACTAAGAAAGGGAAACAAAAAAAGGAAGTGAGAAAATAAGAAAATTCAATGACTAAAATAGGAGGTCTAATATCTAACAGAGAAAACCAAGGGAAAGAAATACAAAAGAATATCCACAATAGTAACATTTCTAAGAACAGAAAGACAAGCACATCCCCAATTTTAAAAACAAACAAAACCATCAACTAAAGCACAATGAACGAGAAAAAGAAAATCCACACCAAAGCGTATCATTATAAAATTAGATTTACATCAAAAATAAAGAAAACATCCTAAAATATTCCATGGAAAGAAAGTAACAATAAAAGAATCCCAAAAAGCAGTATCACACTTCTCAACAGCAACAATATAAGCTATATATAATAATGGGGTTGTAGCTCAGAGATAGAGCACTGGCCTAGCAGGCTTGAGGCCCTCTGTTCAATCCTCAGCACCATATAAAAATGAAATAAAGGTATTGTGTCCACCTACAACTAAAAAGTAAAACATTTAAAAAAAAAAAAGAATGGAGGGGCTGGGGCTCAGTGGTAGAGTGCTCGTCTAGCACGCATGAGGCACTAGGTTGGATCCTCAGCACCACATCAAAATGAAATAAGGATATTGTGTCCACCTACAATTAAAAAATATTTAAAAAAAAAAAAAAAAGACTGGAGAGTGGGCTGAGGTTGTGGCTCAGTGTAGAGTGCTTGCCTAGCCATGTGTGAGGCACTGCATTTAATTCTCAGCACGACATATAAATAAACAAATAAAATAAAGGTCCATCAATTAAATATATATATATATATATGTATGTATGTGTATATACATTTATATGTGTGTGTATATATATATTTTTTAAATGGAGAGTTTTAAGAAAAATGATTTTCAATACCAAATTCTATACCCTAATGGAACTTGAAATTATTTTTTTTACCAGGTATCCTTTTATTAAGAAGTTATAGGGTACACTCCTCTTTATTAAGGTGGGCATAAGTCAAGGAAGTGTGGATCTAATAAACTCCAATAAACAAGGCATGAAACTCAGAAGTGAGGTAAAGATATCTCCTAGAATCATGTCAAGGAAATCCTAAGATAAACTTCTGCATAGCAGAACTAAGAACAACCAGTTCAAGTTGCAGAAGAGTGAGGTCAAAAAATTGGAATTATAGGTTATCTCACAGGTCTTTCTGGAAAGCTAGACATAAAACCTTTTATTATACAAATGGGAAAAAATGGGAGACGGAGAAGTAATTAACTCTGGGAAAAATAAAAGGCTATAAAATACAGAGAACAGCATGATGGAAAAATACTTATAGATCCAGAATAAATAAAACACATATAGATTTATTGCAATCTACTCAATAGTTATATTGGAAAGATAAAAACTTAAAAAATATGGTAAAATGAGCTAAATTCTCATCTACCATAATAAATACATAATGTCTGCAACTAATAGAGAGAAAGCAGTATAGAGCCACTTTTAAATACATATAATGAAAATTTCAGAAGAATCAACTAATAATATTTGAAGGAACACAAAGCAACTACTTTTTGTTATAAGCAGTTTAACAGTGGTTAGTTTAACTATATTAACACAGCTTTTTTGAAAACAAAACCAAAAAAATACATCAACCAATTACTATAATCAGTAACAAAAACACAATTCCAAAGAAAATAAGCAAATCATAAGTAACAGAGCTGTAGAAGTGTAGGGTACTTGTAGCTAAGTGGTAGGGTACTTGCCTTGCCAATACAAGGCCCTGAGTTCAACCAGAGCATCAATAACAAAGACTTAAAAAATATAAGATGATGATAAACTGAGATAAGCAATCTATACACAAATTACAGCAAGAGAAAAAACAAACAAAAAAGGTGATATGGCTATGGCTATGGGGAAAAGACTAATTTTATTCACAGTGAAAGTTCAAAACCAATACCATTTTTGAGGAACATTTGATAAAACTTAGCTGTATATTCCCTTTGACCGAGTTCCATTTCTAGCACACTCTATAAAAATAGTGATTTCTATAGAAGTGTTCACTACAGCACTGATTATTTCCTACAAATACAGTATTTGGACACCATAAAATATCTCTGTAATGTTTAAAATTATATGGTATAAAGAATTCTAAAACATTATGTTAAATAATAAGTCAAAAGAAAATATGTAAAATACACATACAAATACATATGCAACATATACTCGAAAGCATGTACATCAAGCCATTAACCATGAGGAAAGTGGAATTGGAGACATAAGGGGATACAAAAATGGAGGAAGGCTTTATCATCTGCATTTTAAAAAATAGTCATAAATTCATTACATGTATCTATTAAGTAGTGGGAAAGAAGCACAAAAGTTAAACTTTTAAGTTAGCATTCATGAGCAGTATATCTTCAAATACAATTGAATACCAATGTCTCACATACCCTCTTATTGTACTGTTTGTCTCAGGATCACCAGGGTCCAAAGTTTCTTTTAAGAAGTTTATATAATGAATCCAAAGGTCAACACTAAGGGGTATTGCCTGAAGTCCCCGGCGATACACCTAAGAAGAAAACAATAAACTGTACTTCAAGTATTTAATTATTCCTTAACAGAGAGGCAACACTGTGTTATCCGGTGAACCTTAGAAATACTAATTACTGGAATTTTGTTTAAATAATCTACCATTACCATTTGGGTGGAGGTTGGATAGAACATGGCAATGTTCTGATCCCCACGTGCAGAGTCTTGATCTTCAAAGCGCAGCAGTCCCTGCATTCTGACCGGGTTGTGTGGGCAGGCTTTGGGTTACAGACCATAGGGCACAGACCCATTAGAGCATCAATGACAGCGTCTGACCAAAAATGCAATAAGACGTAGCAAATGTGACTAGTAAACCAACTATATTGTTTGGAAAATGAGAAATAAATGTAAGTGAGAGAAAAGCCCTGCCCTACTTGTTAAGCTGCAGTGTAATACAGAGGCTTGCACTGCAAAGCTTGACAAACTGTAGAGGTTTAACGCACCTGCCAACAAAGAGAGAAAATATTAGCTACAAATGCCACAAGAGTGACAAATGCAAATAAAATACCCTATAAAAATTGTTTGACCATAAATGGTAGGTACTGCCAGCCAAAAAAAAAAAAAAAAAAAAAAATCTTTGTTTTTGTTATTAACTGGCTTACAGTACCTAATGGAATCAACTTTATTCAGTGATGTACGCACCTCATCTGATTGCTTAATGTTGTCATGTCGCTTTTCAAGATCTGCATACTTTTTCCAGTAACCATAGCAATACGGATAGTGTATGAAAAATTTGTCAAATGCTTTTCTGGCGGCCATCAAGTGATTCTGATGAAAATAAAACAAGGCATTTAAATATCTTAGAAGTTTTTATCAAAAAGAAAAGAAACTAACTTTGTCAAATACTAAGGTAACTTTTTACTTTTTGTTTATTTATTTATTTACTTGTGACACTGGGGATTGAACCCAGGGCCTTGTGCATGCGAGACAAGCACTGTACCAACTGAGCTATATCCCCAGCCCTTAGTTTTATATTTTGATGGTGCTATAGGATTGAACCCAAGGCCTCAAGCATTCTAGGCAAAAATTCTAACACTGAGCTATATATATATATATATATCCCCAGTCTCTTAAGGTAACTTTGTATTTCAATAATTTTACACACATATATAAAAACCCCAATCACTGTACAACATTAGGCTTTAACTATACTAACTCTCCTAATATACAAATATGCTTTAAGTTATTTTCAAAACAAAAATGTATGTATTTAATATTATTCAACTTAATCTGAAATTTTTGTGTGTGTGTGGTAATAGGCACTGAACCCAGGAACATTCTGCCTCTGAGCTACACCCCCAGTTATTTTTCATTCATTCATTCATTCATTCATTCAAGGCAGGGCCTGACTAAATTGCTGAGGCTGGCCTCAAACTTGTGATCATCTTGCCTCAGCCTTTTTAGTCACTTGGATTAAGGCATGTGCCAGATTAATCTGACCCTCAGATACCATTTTAATAATTACTAACCTCCTGTTCTACATATTGAAGCAAATATACCCAGCCTGTAAAATCCTGAGGATTATTTTCTACGGTTTTCCAAAATTTTTCATATTCTGGAGGGAAATTTGTTTCCGTTTCTGTCACTGTCACTGGAAGGTCAACAGCATTTGCCATTTCACTTTCTTCTGTAGACGCATTCACATTGGGAGAGCCGTCAGGTGACTGTTCCATTTCCGTAACATTCATAATCTCAGTATTGAAATCAGCAGGATGTTCTACCACTACCTCTGAACTGTTGTCTGTGCTGCCATTATTAGAATTTCTGTAATCATCCATGTGAGAATTTTGCATAGCTACGTATTTTGTCTTCAGTTAATAATCTGCAGAAACACACACACAAAAGAGAAACATCTTCCAAATGCTAATAAAATTACTTGGCATCAACATCACCTTTTAAAGCCCTATTTACGATTAAGGAAATGGAATAGTTTGAACTTGATCAAATTAATTTGATTATTTTGTCTGCAAATAATAGAAAACCTATCTACTGATGGCAGTTTAAACAAATATTTATTTTCTCACAAAACAGAAAGCTTAGCAGCTGGATGATGATCAAATTCAAGGTAGGACATAAGTATAGATGAACTACATTGTTATAACTGTTCTTTTTAATCAGAAAATCAAAAGTTTTCCCAGAGATGTTTTTTTTTCCAGTTTCACTATCCTTTATACAGGATTAGGTATATTGGTACCTTAAAGAAAATTAGTGTTTATTTAGTAAGATAGACAGTGGTGAGACAAGATAATGGATAGGTAACAAAGTATCCACGAGATGACATGAACTGTTTTTGTCATTATCCTCTAAAATCCAATCTACGATTATAATGTGACCTAAAAGTTCCATTGTACAGTTTACCCATTGTAAGGATTCATCATTTAGAGAACTTGGTAGAAGTACAACTTTCTGGGCTATGCCATAGAATTGAAGCCAAGGAATCTGTATTTGTTTTAAACACCTTCCTAGTTATCTTCATTGGAAATCAGACTTGAAAATTTTTGTACACTGTAGTGAAACCCAGATTTTTAAAGTAGTCATGAAATTGAAAAAAGAAAACAAAGTATACATACATGGGCGCGTGCGCGCGCGCACACACACACACACACACACACACACACAAAAATCCCTGAAGCCAACCATCCCATAGCTGGATTTTCTTTAAAATAACAAAATAAAGGTCTGAGGTTGTGGCTCAGCAGTAAAGTGCTAGCCTAGCATGTGCTAGGTGCTGGGTTCGATCCTCAGCATCACATAAAAATAAATAAACAAAATAAAGATATAGTGTTCAACTACAACTAAAAAAAAATTTTTTTAAATAAAAAATAAAATAACAAAATCAGCAGGACGTGGTGGCACATGCTTGTAATCCCAGCTGCTTGGGAGGCTGAGGCAAGAGGACCATTGAGTTCAAAGCCAGCTTCAGATAAGCAAGGTGCAGCTCAGTGAGACCCCATCTCTAAATAAAATACAAAATAGGGCTGTGGATGGGGCTTAGTGGCTGAGTGCCTATGAGTTTAATACTCAGTACTCCCCACCCCCAAAAAAATTGCAGACAAGCCAAAAGAACACACACCAAAAAAAAAAAACCATCCAACTTTTGTAGGGAGAACAACTGTTAACACCAACTGTATTTTATTTATTTGGTGTAAATTCTTTTTTTTGGGGGGGTGCTGGAGATTGAACTCAAGAGCACGACCACTGAGTCACATTCTCAGCCCTATTTTGTATTTTATTTAGAGACAGGGTCTCACTGAGTTGCTTAGCATCTCACCACATTGAGGCCAGCTTTGAACTCACAATCCTCCTGCCTCACCCTCCAGAGCTCCTGGGATTACAGGCATGCGCCACCAGGCTCAGTTTTTGGTGTAAATTCTGACAGACTGGTGTGCACATATATACAGTGTGTTTATTATGATATCATCAACACAGATATTAGACTACCAGAAAAATAAATTCTCTTCTTGGATGAGTCTGATGAATGTCATCAACTTTTCCAAAGTTAAGACCACTTTAGGTCCTATGAAAGGACAAACAAATTTCTAAATTTATTTTGCTCTTTTCTCTCTCCTTTAAAAAAAAGCACATTTGGGGCTGGGGATGTGGCTCAAGCAGTAGCGCGCTCGCCTGGCATGCGTGCGGCCTGGGTTCGATCCTTAGCACCACATACAAACAAAGCTGTTGTGTCTGCCGAAAACTAAAAAATAAATATTAAAAAATTCTGTCTCTCTCTCTCTCTTTAAAAAAAAAAAAAGCACATTTGAAGATTAATTTTTCATATGCAAATTACTAACTTGTGGGTTTTTTAAAATTTTATAGTTCAGTTTAAGAAAGAAAAAAAAAAAAAGACTGCTGGTTGATGCATTATTTGGGGGAGGAATGTAGTACTGAGGATTACACCCAGGGGCCCCATAACACTGAGCTACATCCTAGCCCTTTCTATTTTGAGACAGGGTCTCATTAAATTTCCTAAAGTGACCTGGGAAATTACAATCCTCCTGCCTCAGCCCCCAAATAGCTGAGATTACAGGGATGTGCCACCCGCACCTGCCAGTTGACAAATTCTGAGTCATTTACTACCTACCCTATTCTAATTGCATATTTATGTGGGACATATGGGATTTGTTATTTTCTTTGAATCAGCAAATTTACCACACCCTTGCATCATGAGAGACTCCATACACTGTCAATTACTCCATACACTACAATTACTTGTTGTAAAAGAATTAAGAACATCAGCCTTACCCTTAGGGAATTCATTTTGATGATTACTTCATAAACCACAGGGCCAAAAGAAAATATACTTATTTTTAAAGTTATTCCAAGTCAATCATTAGTACTAGTTTATTCTTAACAAAGAATGGGGAAAAGAAGAGTTATTGTTTAATGGGTATAAAGTTTCAGATTTACAAGATTAGAAACTTCCTGAGATGTTTCCCAATCATGCAAATATACTTGGCAATACTAACTGTACACTTAAAAATGGTAAACATTATCGGGGCTGGGGATGTGGCTCAAGTGGTAGCGCGCTTGCCTGGCATGCGTGTGGCCCGGGTTCGATCCTCAGCACCACATACAAACAAAGATGTTGTGTCTGCCAAAAACTAAAAAATAAATATTAAAAAGTTAAAAAAAAAAATGGTAAACATTATCAATTTGAATTTAACTCTCCCATGCCTTTGGCATGTAACAAATTGTCCTTTTTCCTGATTTGAGGGGGGAAAAAATGTAAAATTTTGTTATGTAATTTTACCAAAATTGCAGAAAGTAAAACATTATACAGTATAACCAAATTAGGAAATATAATGTGCAAAAAGGAGCTAAATTTTTCTACCATTTGTTAAATATTTAAATAAGCAAGAGGTCAAAGACCTGAAGCTGTCTCAGTACTTTTTTTGGGGGGAGGGGGTACCCAAGATTGAATTCTGGGGCACTTGACCACTGAACTACATCCCCAGCCCTATTTTGTATTTTACTTAGAGACAGGGTCTCACTGAGTTGCTTAGCGCCTCACTTTTTGTTGAGGCTAGCTTTGAACTTACATTCCTTCTGCCTCAGCCTCCTGAGCCACTGGGATTACAGGAGTGGGCCACTGCACCCAGCCTTTCTCAGTATTTTGAGTTCCTATATAATAAACTGCAACCTAACTTCAGCATATAAACAAATGGAAACCTTAGAAGCCTAATTCTTTTTAACAGAGAGCTGGATCACAGCCAATCATAAGCAGCAGAGCTTCTGCCAATCACAGGCAGCCAACTAATCAGACTATATCCAAATAAGGCAACTACCTAGCTATAATCAATCAAGCTATTTCTGTGGTTACTTTTATGTTCTGTCTATAAATACTTACTGCCCACTGATGCAGACTAGATGCTGTGAACTTCTAATCATGAATTGTTCTTTCCTCAAAACACTGCTAAATTTGTCAAAAGTTTTTCTTTTAATACATCATAAGTAGTACAGCACGGGTTCCAAATAAAAAGTACAGAATGATAAATATCAGTTAGAGACCAGGGCATGATCTCCTTCATTCCCAGCTACTCAAGAGGCTGAGAGAAGTGGATCACAAGTTTGAAGCCAGCCTCAGAAACTTAGCAAGACCCTCAGCAAATTAGGGAGACACTGCCTCAAGAAAGAAAGTAAAAATGACTGGAGATGTAGGTCAGTAATAAAGCATTCCTGGTACCAAAAATTCCAGTACCTCAAAAATGAAATTGTGTATGTGTGTACACACATATGTATACATAAGAAAAGAGGGAAGTAAAGTGAATTCTACCTCTCTCCCTTAATACTGTGTGATCCTAGGTCAGTTTTTGCTTCTCACTTCTAAAGGAAACTAATAAGACTTACATTACCTGCCTCAGAGATAGGTTAAGAACATCAGATAAAATAAAAACATGAAATTCTTAAAAACTATAAATTCACAAAAATGAAAGCATAATAGTAAAACACTGAATTCCTTGGGAAGTGATATACCAACAAGAATTTGTATTTTAAAATAAATTTAAAAAAATAAAAATTACCTTCACAGTGCACTTAATTTTTTTGCATTAGAAATTTTAATAGGAAAAAATGCTACCAATTTTGAAACTGGTAGTGAGTATAGAATTTATCTGGAGGCATATCTTATTTCCTAATTTGGGGGGGAACATACATTTCCCTCTCATGATCCTAATATAATCATATCAATTGGGGTTAAATCCATATTCAGTTTTACATTAGTGTGTTTCTGTAAATATTTTTAAGCTAAACTACCCTGTATACTATAATTATGCTTTCTTGCTTCTAACCCTTTAAATCTTATTATTTTCATTTACCTTATTGTGTTTCAAAATTGAAACCATATCCTACTAGAACTCTTATAAAAAGTCCTTCAAAAAACAATGTCATGCATATTTATCAATTCCACTTTTCCTTTGGAGAACATCTAAGGTTCCACAGCAAATTCTATTGATTCTTCTTGTCTAGGTTTGTCTATTCCTTTTGATCTAACATAGTCCTTTTACTTATTCCCTGGGGGATGAATCCTATCTATAACCGCCAAAATCTTTCTTTCTTCATTTATTCTCTTTCATTTTTTATGTTGTATATTAATATACAGAATGATGGGTTTCGTTGTGGCAGATCCATACATACATAAAAACATAATCCGATCAACTTCACTACCAAATACCCACACTATGCCCTCCTCCCTCTGATCCCTTCCTTTTCCCTAATGGTCTCCATTTTCTGCTGAGTCCTTATTTTTTCACTCTGGCTTCCCCATAACAGAAAACTAATGATACTTTTCTCCTGCATCTGACTTATTTTACTCAAGATCATGGTCTGCTGTTCCATCCACTTTCCTCAAAGTGACATAATTTCATTCTTTTTTTTAATTAATGGATTAATTCCATCTTCTAGAGGATCATTACTATAGCCTACAAAAAAAAAATGATAAATTTTCTAAGTATAAGCAGGCACAGTGGCACACTTACAGCAACTCAGTAGACTCAAATAGGAGCATCACAAGTTCCAGGCCACCCTCAGTAATTTACAAGGCCCTAAGCAACTCAGTGAGACCCTATCTTGAAATAAAAAAAATAAAAGAGGCTGGGGATGCAGATCAGTGGAAAAGTACTCCCTCAAACTCCAGTAACACCAACAAAAGAAATTTTATAAGTATAAAATTCCAGACTGAATTTTTTCCTTAAGAGTTTTAGAAGAATCTATTCACTGTCCCCTAGCATCTGGTACTACTATTGAAGAAATATGGTCTCCCCCCCCCACCCCCGCCCTCTTAAGTACTGGGGATTAAATTCAGTGGCACTGTACCACTGAGCTACACACACAATCCTTTTTTATTTATTTTCTATTTCAAGACCGGGTCTCATTAAGTTGTCCAAGCTGGCCTGAAACTTTTGATCCTCCTGCCTCTTCTCCCAAGTAGTTGGGATTACAGATGTGCACTACCCTGCCCAGCTTGTGATGCAATTTATCCCTTATCCTCCACATGACCTGTTTCTCAGTAGACTGTTTCTTTTTTTTCTGCTTGTACTGAAACACTCCCTTAATGGGAGTCTTTTTCCACTCATTCTGCAGAGCATTCATTCGAAAACTACTTTTTTAACTTCTTAAACTGATACATAAAAATATAAAAGCTTTACTTACGGATATCATGTGATGTTTTGGTACATGTATTTTTTTTTTTTTTTGGCGGGGGTAGGGGGTACTGGGGATTGAATCCAGGGACTTTTATATGCTAAACACGCACTCTACCACTGAGCAACACTCCCTGACCTACTTGTAACATTTAAAGCAGGCTAAACATACCTATTTCCTCAAACATTTCTTTATGGTAAGACATTTAAAACCCTTTCTTCTATATATTTTGCATATATAGTATCATTATCCATAGTCATCCTACTGTGCAATAGCGTATCAAAACTTTTTACTCCCTTACTACAATCTAGAAGGCCTATTTTACTTTATTTATTGTTTATTTTGCAGCGGTGGAGACTGAACCCAGGGGTTTGCACATGCTAGGCAAGTACTTTACCACTGAGTTACATCCCCTTCCCTAGACAACCTATTTTAACCTAGATTTTTATGCCATTCTATTCTTAGAAATGTTTTGTTTTGATAAAATCTCTCCCTTTCATTTCTCTATTACCTATTTGATGAACTCTTATTATTTAGATGTTGGACCTCCTGAACTAATCTTTCTTTTTTTCTTTTTAACTTTGTTTTTACTGATTTGACTCATTCTACAAGAGATAATCCCTTACTCCTTATATTGGATTTTTAATACAGGCATAAAGCTTAAAATTTCCATTTCTTATTCTCTGAATGATTTTTTTGTTAAGTCTCCCGTTCCTTTTTCACTAATGCAATATCTTCTGTCATTTCTCCATAATTCACTTTAAATTTCCTCAGTTCTCAGCACTATGTGCTTCTTCTAAATGTCTTTTGACTGTGTTGGTGTCTCAAGTATAGTGATCTTCAAACTTACATTCAGGAAGAAATGTTAGACATTACAAAGTTACTCTGCAAGTTAGACAGGATTCACAACTGCTGGATCTTGCTACAGAAAGACATTCTGTTAAGGGAATCCACTAAATATCAGTGCTATACATTTTTTCACCTGGGTTAAGTTTCCCCAAAGAATCTTTCAACTTAGAAAAACAGAAGAAAGGCAACCAGCATTCTGGGAGCAAAAACAACAAATGGGGCTGATGATCTCACATTCTATTCCATTTCCCATTCTCATTAAGACCTTTTACCCAGGCCCTGCATTCCACTATGTGTCAAAACTCTTGATTCCATCCAGTTTGAACAATAAACATCTAATTTTTCACTGGCTATATTGGACAAAGAAGGGAAATTCTACATCTAAACTACTTCAGATTTTCAACTAATTCTACTTTTAGTAATACTGAGCATTCTTATCTTCGGAGACCATGGTTAGAATAATTCTTTTTAAAGGCATTTGGAAAAAATCAACAATGAACAAGGGTGCTCACTGAAGCACTTTTTCTAAGAAAATAACCATCAGTTGGTATACTATACAGTCTAGTTTAATGACCTAGTTGACAAGAGCAACTAGATCTCTATATCCTCTATCCCCTTAAAATTTCTTATAACTTAGGTAGTAAATCTATTATACTAGATTTACTACCTCTCAACTTATTTATCATCTTTCTTCCTTTCTGTTCTCAAAGTATTCGTTTAGTATCTTTATTGTGCTATTAGCAACAATAGTTGAAATACATAATCATTGTTTCTATATAGTCTCATAATTTCTTCAGACCATAAGCAATTAAGTGTGACTTCTTCATTTTTCCTACCACCAAATTTCTACTCTCAATGCATCTGTAACCACTTGGTCACAATGGATGAAGATCTCTGGTCCTACCAAAGGCCAATACCAGAACTCAAGACTTGAAACATTTATCCCACCCACCTTCCCAAGAATTTCTTTTAATTTACTCTTCTTATCAGTTCCTCTTACTGCATTAGATTACTTCCATTAGCATTCAAAAATAAATACCCCTCATCTGTCTTTCTGAAGAATCTTTGCTTCTCACAGTCCCATAAGAATTAGTACCACTTTGCCAGGCACAGTGGCACATACCTGTAATCCCAGAGAACTGGGAGGCTGAGGCAGAAGGATCACAAGTTCAAAGCCAGCCTCAACAACTTAGGGAGGCCCTAAGCAACTTAACAAGACGCTGTCTCAAAATAAAATATAAAAAGGGCTGGGGATGTGGCTTGGTGGTTAAGCGCCCTGGGGTTCAATTCCTGCTACAAAAAAAAAAAAAAAAAAGAATTAGTAACTTCAAGATTTTGTCCTCAGCTGATCACCTTCTCCTCTTTGATATACTTTCTTCACTTAGCTTCCAGATCATACCATATCCTGATGTTACTTGTACCTCCCTACCACTTCTTCTACTGATTGACAATCTCCTGAGATGAAGTGAGTGCTCTTCTATTCAACCTGTTAATGTTGGAGTACCCCAGGATTCAGTCTTTGGTCATTTTTAACTCAACTCCCAATCTCACAAGGCTTAAGATACTAAATATATGCTGACCCTCAAATGTTTATCTCCAGCCTAGGCCTCTTTTCCAAACTCCAGTCATATATCTAACTGCCTACATATATAAAGTCATTTCAAATATTAAAATGCCAAGTCTCTTCCTGATTTGTCCCCCCAAATTTGCTCTACCCACTTCAATGACTGAAAAGTCCTCCTTCCCCCTGTGTAGACCAAAAAATCTTGGAATCATCCTTGCCTTTTTCTCACACCAATCAATCTGTTAGGGAATCTTTCAAATGTCCTAGAATTCCATTTCTTATAATCCTTTTTTATTCCAGCTGAGAGCAGCTGGAATACCATTATAGTCTTCTATAAGGTTCTATGGACCGCCTCCTTTTTCTCTTGCTCCACCTCCATCCCCAACTCCCTGTGTTTAGTCTATTAATAATATAGCAGAATTAGTTATGTTTAAAAAATGTAAATCAGACTCACTCCACTGCTCCATCTCACAAATAGTCAATATCCTTCAGTGGTCCACTGCCCTATAATATCTCTTTGACTCATCTACTCTTACTCTCTCAGTTCCTGCCATACTGACATCTTGCTGTCTCTCAAAGTCCATACTCTACAGACTTAGAGCTTTGCATGGCTGTTCCCTCTACAAAAAGAAAATTCCCCATACAAACATAGCTGCCTTCCTCGTCTCCTTTTAAACTTTGCTGAAATGTCACCTTCTCAATAAACTCTATTTGGATCACATTATTTAAAGTTGTAACCCATTCCCATTCGCAGCACTTTGCTATACTTTTATTCATAGCATTTTCTATATTCTAAATAGTGAATAATTTATTTAGTAGACCCTACTATGAATTAACTGGTTTAAGAATTAACTGGCTCCTTTTTATTCACAGTATTATTGATATAATTCACATATTCATTATCTCCCAACTATATCAGTAACTTTCAAACTGCAGATTGCTTTAGATCAGTTTTTTTTTCAAATGTAAAAGAGAATAAAAATTTATCACAATGCTTTTGCATAAAGACATGGAAAAACCATAATGTTTCATGACAGTTTAACACAATTATATACACATGCACAAAATTCAACTACTGTATACTGATTTGCACACAGAAGACACATTATTTTTGAAAGAATGAATGAATGAAGGCATGTCATCAGGCAGGTATTGCTACAATTTCAATTACCAGCTATCAATAGTAACACTAAAAGATGCTACTTACTGATCATATATTTTGTTAAATCCCATTTTCCCACTTTTAAGGATGGAGAAACTAACATTTATTAAAGTTAAAACAACTTGTCCAAGTTTAAATAAGTTGGAAGGAACAGAGCCAAGGTTCAACCCCATCCTAACAACAACAACTCTTGCCTCTTTTCTACTAAATTCTGTAGGAACATCCCTCCCACTCCCATTTCACTGTTTTGGGACCTTAGTGTAAGCTGTTCTTCTACATGAAATGCTCTCCTAACCCTCTATTCCACTCTTACATTACCATTTAATGCCTTCCAACTAACTAAAGCCTATTCATTCTTCTGAGTAGAGTTTAAAAATCACTTCCTGAAAGTGTTTCCACATTCCCCAAATAAGTTAGGTTGTCCCTAGTGACAATCCCACAGCATTCTTTTTCTCCACAGCACATACCACAATTTTGATACTTGTTCAATGTTTACCTTCTCTCCTAAATTACAAATTTCTTCAGGGTCAAGGCAAAGTCTACCAGTACATACAGATATAGTACACCTTGAGACTTAGAACACTATCAATTAACTGACAATTAACAGAGTCCTTACCCATACTAAAACCTGGCCTATTACATTCATAACCAAATAGAAAGTGGAAAATGCTTGGTCACTAGACGACAACACAACTGAACTAAAGATCCAACCTCCCTACTTATTAAGGAATTCTGAACAAGTTATTTAATCCTTTTAAACCTCATTCACAACATAATCACACATACCTTGATATAAAAATTAACTAACCCCTTCTTTTCATTCATACTACTAATATGTCGGTTTAAGTAGTTTTTATATCACCTCCAGACTGCTGTTTTCAAGCTGCAGATTGTATCAAACCAGTTTCTAATTGTAAATGCAAAAACAAATAGTAGACAAAATCAGAATACACAAACACATTAAGGGCATATTGAATGCACTACTGATTACAGAGTTGTAATGTTACATGTACATCCTTTTTATGGGTTGCAGTCAAAAAAAAAAAAACACTACTACACTATAAACACTACTGCTACAGATAAACAAATATTACTAGAATATTTAAAGTTAATGAGAAAGGAATCTTGATTTATTCACTGTTGTGTTTCTATAACCTACAATAGTGCCTGGTGTGTAACAGCACAATTTCTCTGAACAAGTAAGTGACACATCCATTCCTAACTTAACTTCCCAAACATATTAAACCTACAATATTCTTCCTTACTGCTGTTTCCAGAGCACATTATATTCTTCATGCCTAAACATTCTTCATGCCTTGGCACATGTATTTCTCCAGACTAACAAAATTCCTTTTCTCAACTCAAAAAATCAATTGATATCTTTTTTTAAACTATATTATACTTTCTTACAAAATCACATAAGCATAAAATAATAAACTACAGAAGAAAACATGACAAATTATAAAATACTCAGAACAGATACAGTTCTAAAATCACACATTTAACTTTTAGTATAGTTATGATATACATTAAACACCTAACAATCAGCATGCCATCTTAAAATTTAAAAGGTCTTTGGGAAGACAACTTAAATAACCAACACTCATTTGATGAAATATGAGACATCTAATTTAATATAATTCATTTTTTTACGCTCTGTATGCCTCTTACACCTGTAGCGGTAATCAAAACTTATGCCACTGATTATTCTTTTTCATGAACAGAATATATAAAAATCCAAAGTCATTACTAAAAGTGCAAGTCAAGAGTGTGGGTACTGCGGGGCGCGATGGATGGCACACATCTGTAATCCTAGCGGCTCAGGAGGCTAAGACAGGAGGATCATAAGTTCAAAGCCAGCCTCAGCAGAAGCAAGGCACTAAGCAACTCAGGTAGACCCTGTCTCTAAATAAAATACAAAATAAGGCTGGGGATATGGCTCAGTGGTTGAGTGCCCCTGAGTTCAATCCCCACTACCAAAAAAAAAAAAAAGAGTGTGGGTGCTGCAGATCAACTAACTAGCTTTGCAATCCACAAATTAGTTCTTCCTCAGCCTTAGATAAGCCAATTAGATTTCAGCTGTTAAAAAAAAAAGGGGGGCCACTGTAACCATTGGTTTGAGTACCTATTTTTAGAGGCTAAGTATAATGTTCACAGATTGACCTTTCTGATTTCCACATATTAAATACTTAATATATCCTAGAAACTGGATCTTGTATATAAATCTGCATCATCTCAAATCTTTGGGAAAAAATTATCACTGGACTACAACTACTACTTTCGTTCTTCTTTGGCTATTAAAAAAGAAAAAAAGTTCTGTTTTACCCACAACTATTAACATAGCACAGAAGATTCTGTTCTTTCTCTTGAAAATGACACGCAATTTTTATCATTTGACTTACAAAATTCTTTATCTTAAATATTCAACTATATATTACCAAATATTCTGAGACTAAAAAAATCCTGCTTTTTTATGCTCATTGCAATTATCTCATACACCTACTAATTATCCTTCTCTAGTCAGCCCCTAATTATTTCAGAATTCACAATCTAAAAACCAGTGGTCTTTAGTATAACTTCTTTGTCACTTTATCCCTACAATGAGAAGAGTGGAGTTCCAACTTTTTCAACTTTAAAATGAGGTTATAAACCTGAAGGGAGGAGGAAACCTGTCAGTAGTTGCTTGGGTTGTTTGTTTTTCCAATTCATTTAAAACTGCCACAGAGCCCAAAACACTTAAGTTCCAATGTAAGCTCCGTACTTCCCCCAGATGAGACATTTTCTTAAACTTCACCCTTTCCAGCTGTAAATTTTAAAGTATTTTTTGAACAGATTAAAATCAGTTGCCAAATACTGAGCCCTCAAATACGGAAGACCCCATGAATGCCAAACTAAAAAGTAACATAAAATAATATGGTATTACAGAATCATCAACAATACGTTTTTTAAAAAAGAAAAAAATACATCATCAACAATACATTAACAGTACCATTAACTTCAAACATTATTTATTAATTTCAAGATGTGATTTTGGAGCGAGAAAAACACTAGTTCCTGGTCTCTGATTACGAAAGGTATAAACACTCAGATTCCTTTACAAGATCCTACTGGGATTTTCCGTGCCTAGTTTTTGTTTCTATCCTACACAGCCCAAAATCTCTGGCTGATCTTTGGGGTGCTGTGACCCAAGGCCCCAAAACTGTTGCTTCTCCAGTTAGAAGGCGGAACACACCCTCCAAGGCACCCAAATGCTTTATTAACAGAAGTTGTATTACACCCTCCTAATCCTCCGCGGCACTAAAGAGCCCCCTCCCATCTTCCCAGCCACGCTGGGGGAAGCGAGGGTTCAGACTTATCCCCAAATCTCTTCCTCAATCCAGTGGAGGCGGCCCACGCTTCCCCGCCAGACTAACCGCACTTCTCAAGAAAAACGTGCAGTCTAAGAAAAGAAACCTCGCACTGCTCCACCCAACAGGTGGGACGGAAAAAGGAATGAACAACTGGGCTCCAAGGCCAAGCCAGGCCTTAAACAGGGCGGGAGAGGCCGCGGGCCCGGAGCGGCCTGAGGCACCTCAGGCCTCTTCCTGATCAGAGTCCCACCTCCTCCCGCCAATTTCGACAGGCAGGTCTTGGCTGACCTCAGGATGGATGCCACTCGATGCCATGAGCCGAAACCTGGGCCAACCTAGCTGAAGATGGCACTCCCACCGACTCAGTCCTCACAGCCACACAGTCGCCACCAGAGCCACCTCCGCCTCGTCGAGGACGCAGTGCGCACGCGCAGGTATCCGGAGGCGAGCGAGTCACGTGGTCGCAGCACGCAGGTCTCGCCCTCCGCGGGATCCGGGCGGCCGAACTCCGGGCCCCGCCTCCGCTTCCCCCCCCCCGCCCCACCTCCGCCCCACCCCCGCGAAGGCAGTGTGGTTATTGGGGATTTTCCAAAGTCAAGGGGTAGGTTTAGGGCCTCCCACCTCCCAGATCTTGCAGACATGGCCCTGAGACCCCCTTCGCACTCCACCCCCGCGAAAGTAAAATATCGGTATTCTTTTTCTGCAGTTTTTCTAAGGTTTTTCTAATTACCCAGGCTTTTTCCTTAAAAAATTTAGCTGAAAAGAGCAGAAATTAAGCATAAAACGTCCAAACTTCAAGATGGTAAGGACCATCCCGTCCAAGTTTACCGGAATTTAGGGGTTTGAAAAACTTATTAAAGGATATCTGTAAAGCTATCCTCTGGACAAAGCTGGGCAGGCAGTTTTATGTTGACGATCTTAGCAGACCTCTTCACTTGTACCTCCATCCCCATCTTTTAAACAAGTTATTTTTCTTTTAAATCTGATCTCTCTCCATTTAAGATCCTGCCTCAGTTGTGCAAGTGTTCAGTCGTCCCTTACCAGGCAGTCTTTTGTTGAAGGTTCAGTAATATCACAACTGGGCTCTAGCTTTGTTCCCTAGAATCTGTCTACCTCCAGAAATGTTTCTCTGCAAGACATTGTTCACCTGTCCAGAACTCCATTAGTCATAAATTCTCTCATCAGCACATTTTCTTCCAAATATCAACATTAGAAGATATTAGATGCTGCCTCTCACTTTCAGGAAAGTTACAGCTTTTCCCTTTCCATTTTCCTCTTCTACTCTTCAAGTTAACTTTTTTGGTTTCTCTGACAAGATAGCTATGCTTTTTAGAGATTTAATCAACAGCTTTTAAATGTTTACTTGGGGAAGAAGCAGTCAAGGGAGTGAGATACCTAGAAGCCAGGCCCCAGTCTGTGAAAAGCACTGTTAGTGGCCAAGGCACAGCCTTCTGTGCTTTTTTGATTTCTCCAATCTTCCTAAAGTGGCCTCAAATTCTTACTAAGTAAATAAAAATAAATAATAAATAAATAAGATTATTTCTGAGATCCCACCTCCTCCAATAACCATTT